CCCCCCTTTTGGGAATGGTCTAAAGACACTACAGTCAGTGGCACTGCCCCAGGGGAACCCTTTTCTTTCTACATTACCTACAATTACAAGCAAAGAATAGAATGGTACTAAGAAGTAAGTCCATACGCCAAAAGACTCGCTCTGCAAGCTACAAGTTGTGGCCCATGTTCTCTCTATTCAACTTTTCAAGGAAAACAGCGGAAATTCTGAGCTTCGATCCACGTCACTGACATGCCAGCACTGCGACAGAATCTGCGCTTCAAACATAGGAAGAATTCGTCGTGAAAGAAGCTGCATGAAGACAACCTTGAGACCAAAATTGACCATCTGCATAGACGAAAAGAGCCGTACATACGTATACATATGTTGTCACAAGCAAAGCAAGGGAAAGAATGGAACCTGGAAGTAAGTCCCGAAGTCGAGAGACTTGCCCTGTACACGTTCTTCTTTCCCCCTTTCTGATTAGGCCAGTGGCGCCCCCAATTTGAGCGGCGGCGCGGCGGGGCGAAAACGAGGTATAGAGGTCCGATAAAGATGGCTGACGTGGGCGAGATTCGCTGAGCGTGCAGTTTGAGGCTTCATGCAACGTCGGAGGGCGAGCAATCCGAAGACGTGTAGCCTAGCCTAGGTCTAGGTCCCGAGTGAGCGCGAGAGCGAGCCCCCCGTGTGTGTGTGTGTGGGAGAGTGTGCATGCAGGGAGCAAGGGTGAGTGAATCCTTCCTTGCTCAGAACGAAGCAACAGCCCCTCGGAGTAGCACCGTGCTAGCTGGGAGCTGTGAATTCGTTTTACGGTTAGCTTGTGAGGTGGACTAGAGAGAGAGAGAGAGAGAAAGAGAGAGAGAGAGGTTGTCGAGGGAAGGAATATCTAGGAAACAGGCCTTCCTAGATAGACTAGGTAGGGACGTGATTCCGATAGCGTTGAGTTTTACGGCTTTTTCGGGGTCTATGCAGGATTCTTTTTAACTTTTTGGCTCAGTTTTTTAAAAACAGAGTTAACGTTTTTTTGTTCAGAACCTTGGTAAGAGGGGCCAGAAACTAGTTGTCCATTTAGAGTAGACATATGGAAGGTTGCTTTTGTTTTTAGTGCATTGTCTTTTTTTTACGTGAATGTTTTTTTTTTTCTTTTGAGACCTTTCATACTTTTTTTCCATGTCAGACGAGGAAGATTTCTAACCAGAATGTGCAATAATAAATCTTACACGTAACTGTAAGAAGACATCATGGGTTGACGGATAGAACACCGTCGTACACGTTCAGATAGTTTTGCAAACGTTCGCTGTATATCGGAATGTAAATACCCCTTAACAACATATGTTATGATATCATGCATTTATCAGTTTTGCATATGACTCAAAAAGTAGACAGACATTCTAGATAACGTATAGAAAGAATAAGAATAGCTCCGTTCGTATTAGCCTAGCTAGTTTTCCGAACGTTCGCAGAATAATCGTAATGTAAATCCCCTCAATAAGAGTAATAAAATCATGCATTTATCAGTGGTCTTAAACATAGTATGAAACTCTTAAACAAATGTTCTGGAACAAAACTAATGCATAGACAAGAAAATCGTCGTATTCGCCTAGCTAGTTTTGCAAACGTTCACTTTATCATTGTAATGTAATTTCCCCTCAACAAGAGTAATGAAATCATGCATTTATCAGTCGTCTTCCACAGAACTCTCATTAAGAAAAATATTCTGGACTAAACTAAGGTAAAGAAAGAATAACATTGTATTGGCATAGAGCTAGATCTAGTGTTGAAAACGTTCGCTGTAATATCGGAATGTAAATTCCCACTCACATACAGTTATATGAAATCATGCATTTATCAGTCTTACACATACATAGCCATTCTGGATTAATGTATAGAAAGCATTGTATCGTATTCGCCTAGAGCTAGATTCTAGTTTTGCAAACGTTCGCTTGTTTGTTAACCGTCCTGTGAATCCTCCTCCTCCCTCCACCCACCACCCCACCCCTCTCTACAGTTATAAAATCTCGGAGTCTGGATTGACATGTCCAGTCGGTGAGCAGAGGTCGTACGCGCCACGTCACCATGCTGATGCCAAGCCCCCGTAGGATGGGCAAGAGCTTCAGCGCCACAGATTTGCTCAATGTTCTTCCCCTTGCGCTGATCATCCTGGCCTCTGTGCCATTCTCATTGGCCGCCAACGCCCCCCTGCCGCCAGGTGAGTTTTCCACAAATTATTATTATTATCGTTGTCGTCGTTGTTGTTGTTGTCATTACCATTGTCTTGGTCTTTATCGTCAGCATCGTTATCCTTATCATCGTCCTCCTCCTCCTCCTCATCATCATCATGATCATGATCATCGTCATGATCATCGTCTTGATCATCATCATCATCAGCGTCATTGTCATCATCATCATCATCATCATCATCATCATCGTCATCTCCTATGAACAAGTAATTTGTCTCATGATGGTAACGATTTTTTCCACGTCATCATCATCACAAACCACCACCACCACCATCATCATCATCATCATCATCATCATCATCATCATCATCATCATCATCATCATCATCATCATAGCCCTCGAAAGGATCTATTTCTGGCTATGAGGGATCCGAGCATGTATAAACATCCGTGGCCTTGCTTTCACATGAAGCAACCTGTCCTTGATCAACTATGGTCTGGGATGAATATTATTTACTATTGACATGACTATACCCCAAATATTCTTGATTCTCTAATGAAATGACAGTGCTCCAAATGTCCTTAATACTCTAGATAATGAAATGACAATACCCCAGATGTCCTCGATTCTCTAATGAAATGACAGTGTTCCAAATGTCCTTGATTCTCTAGTGAAATGACAATACCCCAAATATTGTTGATTCTCTAATGAAATGACAATACTCCCAAATGTCCTTGATTCTCTAATGAAATGACAATACCCCAAATGTCCCTGATTCTCTAATGAAATGACAATACCCCAAATGTCCTTGATTCTCTAATGAAATGACAGTGTTCCAAATGTCCCTGATTCTCTAATGAAATGACAATACCCCAAATGTCCTTGATTCTCTAATGAAATGACAATACCCCAAATGTCCTTGATTCTTTAGTGAAATGACAATACCCCCAAAACCACTAGATTCTCTATCTAATGATATGGCCATACCCGAAAAGTCATTGATTCTCTTCTGTGACGATTTCCCAAAAATCAGTTGATTCTGTATAATGAAATGATGATTCTCCAAAAAAAGCAGTTGATTGTCTAATGGAATGGCGATTCCCCAAAACTCGCGTGATTTTCCAAAGCTGCATCGGTTCTCGTGGAGTCATGGTTAGGCGCTCCGCCGTTGCTTTCTGTTTTAAATCTTGCTGTAAACCATCCGTAGTTGGCGTCATTTATTTTATTTGTGACAGCGTAAAATCTCGACCATGATTGTCAGCTAGGTTTTCGGTAAAATTCTGAATGTACGTAAAAATCACAATCAGAAATTGTTTATGAATGTGTGTGTGTGTGTGTGTGTGTGTGTGTGTGTGTGTGTGTGTG